CAGCCGCTGTCGGAGAAGACAGCGCCGCTGTCGGAGAAGACAGCACCGCTGTCGAAGAAGACAGACCGACGAAGATCCGCCGGAAAAAAAAGAGAAGTTTCTTCGCCTACTCGCGATCGCGCCGCCACGCGCCCCTGCTTTCGCGGCCGCTCCGACCGCTCCTTCAAAACGCTCCGCAACAAACCTTTTGAAGCGGCACGGAGCCGCTCCGCTCCGACGCGCCGCGATTGCGGCCGCGACAACCGCTATTGACTACTATGTCAGAAACAAGTTCCAACCTATGGACCTAAACCCATTCAGTTAGATAGGGCCAAAAAGCAACTTTTATAAAGCTGTACAACATATAATAAACAACACTCCCTTCAAGCTGGAGCATATAAATTGTATGCACCAAGCTTGGAACATATAAACTGAATCCTAGGTCCTCTTAAAGATTTAGTTAGAATGTCTGCAAGCTGGTCATTAGAGCTAATAAACTCGGTGATAAGCTCCTTGGATAACCATTTCTGCCAAATGAAATGACAACAATCTCTATGTGATTGGTTCTCTCATGAAACATCGGATTGGTAGCAATATGAGGGGCTGCTTGATTATCACAATATAACTTCATTTGCTTAACTTCACAAAATTTTAACTCTTGAAGGAGTTGTTTAATCCACACAAGTTCACAAGTAGCCAGAGCTATAGATCTATATTTAGCCTCTGCACTAGATCAGGCAACAACACTTTGTTTCTAGCTTTTCCAAGAAATAATATTCCCTCAAATTAAAACACAATATCATGTGGCGGATCTCCTGTCTATGGGACAACCAACCCAATCTGCATCACAATACCCCAAGACTTGAGTATTTCTCTTGGCCTCATACAACAATCCTTGTCCTTGAACCCTTTTAATATATTTGAGAATGTGAATCACAACATTCCAATGGTCAATGTGAGGATCTTGCAAGAATTGATTAACAACCCCAATTGCAAATGAAATATCAGGTCTTGTAATAGTGAGATAAGTGAGTTTTCTCACCAGCCTCTTGTATCTCTTTGGATCTGGAAAAATTCCACCTTGGTCCATCATTAGCTTCTGATTTGGATCCATAGAACTATCAATTGGCCTGCAATTTTCCAAACCTGTTTCCTTCAAAGAGCATATTTACTTTGTGAAATTACAACACCTTCCTTTGATTGAGCCATTTCAATACCAAGAAAGTATTTCAAACTACCAAGGTCTTTAGTATGAAGATGGCTGAATAAGTACTCTTTTAGTTGAGAAATTATAGTAATATCATTTCCTTTAATAACTATATCATCAACATAGATCATTAAATAAACACACTTCCCAGCAAAATGACAATAAAACACTGAATGATCTGTCTCACTTTGTTCCAATCCAAAAATTTACACAATGTGACTAAATTTACCAAACCAAGCTCGAGGTGATTGTTTCAGTCCATACAAAGACTGATGCAATTTACAAACTAAATCACACTCCCCCTGAGCAACAAACCCATGAGGTTGCTTCATATAAATCTCCTCCTCAAAGTCACCATGAAGGAAGGCATTTTTAATGTCAAGCTGGTGGAGTGGCCAATGACAAATAGCCACCATAGCAAGGAAGAGTCAAACCATGGTGATCTTAGCCACGGGAGAGAAGGTATCACAATAATCAAGACCATAAATTTTAGTGTATCCCTTGGCTATCAACCGAGCTTTAAGACGATCAACTTCATCATTAGGGCCAACTTTAACAACATAGACCCATCTACAACCGATAGTCTTCTTTCTAGGAGGTAGAGGGGCGAGCTCCCATGTGCCATTGTGTCCAAGAGCTTGCATTTCATCAATCATGGCTTGCCGCCATCCTAGATGATCAAGTGTCTCATTGACAGTTTTAGGAATAGTAGTAAATGACAGA